GGAGGAAAGATAGGAAGTCAGGTTATGGTTATATATTTTTTGGCACAGAGCTGGATTTGCTCATAGATTGAATACAGAGAGTGCAGAAGTGGAGTAAACAATGATTACAAGCTTTTTGGACTGAGCAACTGCAAGAGTTGAATTGTGGTTTACTGAGATGGGGACAAAACAACAGGAGGTGTAGGATTGAATTGTGATTTACTGAGATGGGGACAAAACAACAGGGAGTGATCAGGAGCTCAATTTGAGCCGTGTTAAGTTTAAGATGCCTTTTAGACAATCAAGAGGCAATGTCAGTACTCATTGTGTATACATGCATATTGGAGTATGGCCTGGAGATGTATATTTAGGAATGTTTGTCATATAAATGCTATTTTAAATCTGTCAGCTCACTGAGATTGCAAAGGGAGTAAAATAGAAGGATTTATGCTGAGTCTGGAGACAGTTTCATGGTAGGGAGAGGAAGAATCATCAAGGTAGGGTTGCCTAGTGAGGTGGGAGGAAAAAGTGTGTGTAGTTTGGAAGCTAAGTGAAGAAAATTCTTCCGTTAGTATGAAAAGATTAAACTGTGCCAAACTCTGTTGATAGATCAAGTAAGATGAAGACTGAATTACATTTGAATTTAGCAATATGATGTCATTGGTGATATTATTAACTCTCTCTCTGTGTGTGTGTGTGTGTGTGTGTGTGTGTGTGTGTGTAGGGGGAAGCAGGTTCAGAACGAATGGGAGGAAGAAATGAGGACAGCAGATATAGAAAACTCTAGAAGATTCAGCCTATTGATATAGGGTACAAAGTCTCAGTTGTTCACTTACATGTTTTTCAGCTTTTGTACTCTTTGTATGCTGGACCTTTCTGAGATTTGTATGAATAACCTTGCATTATTACTATATATACATAAGTTTTTGCTATGTACTACTTTTTTTTTTTTTTCTTCAAGACAGGAGTCTCACTATGTAGTTTAGGCTGGCTTTGAACTTACCATGTAACCTAGGTTGGTCTCAAACTCTTGAGGATCTCCTTCCTCAGCCTCCCAGGTGCTGGGATTACAGATTTGTGCTACCATACTGGCTACTATTTTCAGTTGATAAAATCTTTCTCTCATTGGCCAAATTAATAATAGGCTAGAACTATAATAGAATAATAGAATAGTATGTTCATGAACATGTGTAGTGAGCAAAGGACCAAAGGACTTTTTTTTCCTCCAAAGGACTTTCGATGGTGTGATACTAGAAAGTATTAAAGAAGACTGAGATTTAGAAAACTCTTGAAAGCTCTTGGAGCTCTAAATCTTTAAAATAGAAACTTTACAGATTATGTGATAATCAGTCTTTTGGGGGCTTGTCAGCACCTTGACCTTTCTACAAAACGTATTTGACCTAGTTTACTGACAAGTTTTCCTGTCTATGTTTTTCTTTTTCTTTTTTTTTACTTTTTGTATTTTAGGGAAGGGTGTCCAGGGTGTTCAGGGTCTCACTACTAGATTGAACTCATAGTGATCCACCTGTTTACAGCCTCCCAGGAGCTGGGGTTACAGGCATGCGCCCCCATGCCCAGTCTCAGTTGCCATCTCAGCGTGTCCCTGGGGTGGGGCCCGCACTGCAGGCCTGGGGATTGAACCCCCATCCCCTGTGCTTTAATCTGCTGAGCTATTTGGCCAGCCCTTTGTCTATGTTTTTCTTGGCTTGTTTTCTTTCTTTCTTTTTTTAATTAAGTATTGGTACATTTTAGGTATACATAATGCTTACATTCATCATAGGGGATTTGTGCTTGTGCAGGATACATCTTGATTCTTTTTTTCCATTCCCCTCTCATACCTTTCCTTCAACCCTTATTTAATAATTCCCTCCTTATTTACAAAAGCTTTGTGTCCAGTTTTTCTTTTCCTTTCCTTCCTTTTCCCTACCTCTCTCTAGTTCCACTTCCCATTTGAACATTTTCTTCCTATTTCATTTGGTTTCTCATGCCAGAGAAACAATGTAGGTTTTTTTTTTTTTTTTTGTGTGTGTGTGTGTGTGTGTGTGTGTGTGTGTGTATATATATATTTATCTGGAACAGGATCTCCCTGCACAGCTCAGACTTGTAGTGATCCTTTTGTTTTCAGCCTCCCCAGTGCTGATTACAGGTGTGTATACCCCGCCCAGTCTGGGTGGCTGGCTCATTGTGCCTGGGGGCAGGGCAGGCACGGGATATAGTGCTGGGGATTAAACTCCTGTCCCTGTGCTTGCCTAAGCAGGCACTTAGTCCAGTAAGCTATCTTTTTTGTTTTTTTTTGCAGAACTGGGGATTGAACTCAGGCCCTTGTGCTTGCCAGGCAAGTGCTTATACTCTTGAGCTATCTCCCTGGCCCCCGCAGTGAGCTATCTTGCTGGCCCACAATGTAGTATTTATACATGTGTCCAATTTATTTCACTTAAGAGTAAGGTCTCAAGGTGCATCTGTTTACCTAGAAAAATTTCAAGTTTATCCTTTATGGCTGAGAGAAACCACATCTACCTTATCTGTTCATTGGTTGGTGGACATTTGGTCTGTTTCCAAGATTTAGGTATTACAAACCTATATATCACCATGCTATAATACTTTCAATTCTTTCAGGATGATACCAAGAAGGGGAATAGCTGGGTTGAGTGGCATCTCTAGTTTTAGTTTGAGAAGTTCCTACACAAATTTCCATAGTAGTTGCATCAGTCTATACTCCCACTAATAGTGCAGAAAGGTTCCTTTTGCTCCACAGTCCCATCAGCATTTGTTATTGATTCATTTCTTGTTGATAGACATTTTTTTGGGGGGTGAGATGGAATCTCAGCATTGTTTTAATTTGCATCTCTCAAATGACTGGTTGTATCAAACATTTTCTCAAATATTTATTTACTGTTTTTGGTTCATTGGAGAAATGTCTGTTCATTTCAGATGCCCACCTTTGGACTGGGTTTTTAAATTTGGAGGGAGGCCAATTTTTTTTTTTTTTTTTGAGTTCTTCATAAATTGTAGATAGTACTTTCTCTGAAAACAGCTAGCAATTTTTTTCCCCGCATTGTAGGTTGTCTCTTCACCCAGTGATTCATTTGCTGTACAAAACCTCTTTAATAAGATCATATTCCAGTTATTGATTCTTTCCGATAGTTCCTGTGTGATTGGGGCTGTGTTAATGAAGTCTTTGCCTATCCCATTGTCTTCAAGAGTTGTACCTGTTCTGTTTTCCTGCAGATTTAGTGTTTCTGTTTCAATATTTAGATTTCTGATCCATTTTGATTTTAGTTTAGTGCATGGTGAAAGGTATGGGTCTAGCTTTAGTCTTCAGCATGTGGAAAGCCAGTTTTTCTAGCACCGTTTATTAAAGAGGCTTTTTTTTTTTTCGAGGCTGTTTTTCTTTCAGTGAAGAAGATAAGGTTGCTGAATATGTTTGGAGTTGTTTCTGCATCTTCTAATCTGTTCCATTGATGTTTGGGACTTTTATTTATATATTTATTTTTGCCAGTCTTGCATTTTTTTTTTTTTTTTTTTTTTTTTTGACGGCATACGAGATGTTTTTGCGAAACCGGGGATCGAACTTAGGCCCTTGCACTTGCCAAGGAAGCGCTTATTCCACTGAGCCATCTCCCCAGCCCCATGTTTTTTGTTTTTAATCCAAGTAGCTTTGTAGTATGATTTTAGTTCAGGGATTGTGGTACCTTGTGACTTGTCTTTTATTGCCTAGGATTGTTTTTGCCATTTTAGTTCTCTTCTCTATCCAAATAAATTTTATATTGTTTTCTATAATTCTGTGAGATATGCTGTTGGAATTTGATCAGGATTGCATCAAAGCTGTAATTTTGGAAGTATGGGCAGTCTTCACTGCACTCCAATGAAGTTTAAGCTCATTTCTGGCTATGAGGCCAGAATCAGATTTGTGCAGCCAGCAACACTCTGAGAGCCTTCTGCTGGCCTGAACTCAGCTCCCTGAACTCACTCAGTCAGTTTGAATTTGGTTCCCTGACCTCCTGCTTACTTGAACTCTGAGGCCTGACCCTGGGGCCATTTGGTAGAGCTGGCCCACAACTATTTTGAGTTCTGAGCTCAGTTGGCCCCTCTCCATGATGGCTGCTGGCCAGTCACCCTCTCCTGAGGGAGGTCTGAATTGGAATAACTCAGCAGCCACTGCAGTCCCCTGCATCCACTGCTCTGTTCCACTGGTGCCCTCTGGAGTTGCCAGTAGTCACTTGTGTCTGCAGGTGTGAGCTGCTCCTCCTACACAGTGAGTCCAGGCTTGAGGAGAAAGCACCTCCTGCCACCTCTTCCTTCTTCATTGAAGCCTCTTTCTTTGCTCGCCCTCTGGGCTTCAGTTCTTGCGTCAGATCCTTTCTGGGTCCTGGGGACCCACTTCCCTCCTTTTCTTCCTCATGTTGCTGTATTCCAGTGTCTAGACACCACATCTCAGAGAGGCTCTGTCTCTGCTGCTCACCACTCCACCATCTTCCTGGAAGTCACCTTCTTGGTTTCTAAGGAAAACCTCACTAGGAAATTCTAATATAGTTCAGTTTACAGAACTGAATTTAATAGTTTAAGTGAATAAGACCTTTCTATCTAGATAAAAAATGACCTGTTCTCTTAGTTAAAGGTGTGGATGGCAAATATTTGCACACAATACCTGTATATTCTCCACAGTTATCTCTTGTCATTATTACTGAATAGCCGTGTTACTTTTTTTGTGCTGAGTCCAGATGTATCATCAGAATTCTTATTAGTGATATTCCAGAAAATCATCACTAGTTATTCCAACATGACATAGAACATGAAACCTTTTAAATCCCTAGGATAAGGATTTAGTTCACAGAACACAAATTATGTGGAAAACAACCCATACGTTAGAAAACAGCTTTGAACTGCTTGTCATTCTCAGGGCCTGAGATCATCAGTAGTACTAATGGCTAATGAGAAACCCTAATGGAGCTAGCACAGGAATAGTGTTTGTACTTGTGTCATATCCTTAAATTAATAGTTAATCTCTGTTTTGTTTAAAGATTCTGCACTCTTTGCTGAACTTGGTTATTTCACAGACACGGATGAGCTGCAGTTGGATGCAGCAAATGAAACTTACGTAAGTACTTTCGTGAAGAGAAATGTGAATGATAGGACATGTCATATTTATCCTAACTATTGCAGGGTTTTAGGACAATAGGTTTAGACTAGTAATTTTAAGTTTTATTAACCTTGACTACTAATTGTAAAAATTAGAAGCCATGGTGTAGTTAGTAAATGTAGCAACACAGGATTGCATTGGTCGTGCAGCGAGAAGACTTAATTTTATTCTTTTTATTTTATTTTTTTCCGTAATTTTATTGAGAAACAAATAGCAATGAGACAGTTTCAAACCAAATTGGTAGGACAGTTTCAGTAATTAACACATTGCATACATTATTCCTAGTGGTTAATTGCTGTACAAGATGGGGACATGATATCCTATTTACAAACACTATTAGAACAAATCCCTCTATTCATCAAGAGAATGTAACTATATATCTAACCTAACCATTTTGAATACACAGATACAAAGCGGACATTCATCTGTATCCCCTTTGAGAAGACTTATATGTTAATACTGTACCACTGTTTGGCTCCATAGACGAGTGACCTTGGAAAAGTCACTAAACAGCCGACTTTTTGGTTTTTGCAGATCATTGCTGCTTAAAGGAAATGGTGTGATATTAAGGGGTGTGTGTGGCTCATGAACTCATTCAAGCAGGACTTAACCACCTTCCTTTTTTTAAAAATGTATTTAGTACAGGATCTCACTACACAGATCGGACTTGCAGTGATTTTCCTGTTTTTAGCCTCCAAGCTCAGGGATTACAGGCGTGTGCCACCCAGGCTCAGTCACTGTCTCAGCGCACCCCAGGGGCAGGACTGGCATGGCATTCTGGGGATTGAACCTCTGTCCCCCTGCATCTGCCTGAGCAGGCACTTTAATCCATTGAGCTATCTGGCCAGACCCTCACCTTTGTTTTTTAAAAGTGATGTATTCTTAATGTACAGAACTGAAAATTAGGTTTATCCTTAGTTTTTGCTTTTGATTGATTAGTGATCTATGTAAAAGCTATTTTTGTAACACCAAATACTCATAAATATCTTAGATTTTCTTTTTGGTCTTTCCTTTTTTGGTTAGTATATGTGAAGATGATTAGCTTAAAGAACTTTTAACTTTGTCTTATTCTCTAATGGATGAAATAAGGTTTCACATGGGAAGTAACTTAAGTGAGCAATCTATCAAATAAAGTAATTTATTGACCACATATTTTTAAAGTTCTTATTAACTGGAGCATAAAGATGTATAAACCTGTCTTGAGATTCACATATTCTCAAAGAATGATTTGGTAACTGTTTTACTATGAATCAGTAGAAGATATTGAAGTCCATATGTAGCTTTTTAAATCACTGTATTTAAATGGGGTTTAAATGATTTTGTTTACTTAATGAGATGCTTTAGAATGTGAATTATTGGTTAAATTGGCTTTTTTGTAGTGGCTGGCTTACTAAGCAACTGATATTCTTTCATAATCTAGATCCTACAAGAAACAAGTGTAGTTTTGAAAAAAAGTGTCAAAAAGCAGAGTATTAAATTTTTAAGATTCAGGGAAATATGGTCTTGCTTTTATATCTAACATTCTGTTACTTTATATGAGTTGCTTAGTCTTCCAGCTCCTTAGTTTTTCTAGTATAACATGAAGAGGTGTCTGTCTTCCTTCTTCCACTGTGTGGAAGAATTTCTCATAATACATCCCTGAAGAACCACCCTATATAAGAGCCGATGTGCTTCCCTTTGCATGAAACGAATCTGTTAATTTCCAACCACATGCAATTCTTTAGTTGTAAGAGGTATTTGGCTATTTAGGCTGAGGATTGAGTTAGACGCATCCTTGGAATAGATCACACCCACTGTTGTACATGTTTAAGATATTGTTAGCCCTCAAATGGCAGCATTGTTAAATTTACTTAGACCAAGAAAGTTACAGGATTTTTTTCATTGCTGAAAGTACAAAACTACTCAATTTTTTAATGTGTGTATGCAAACAGAAAAAGGAGATTGATTTCTAAAAATGTTCTTTCATCACTGAAGTTTCTTTCCATGTAAACTTCTATACATTTTATTTATGTACCTTGTACCTATATTTACTTAAAAGCAGTCTGATAAGAAAAGACTGTCTTTTTTCTGATGCATTCCACTAAAAATAAACCATATAATATTTTGAAGTGATAATATTGTGCTGGAAATTATTAACAAATGGTTATTATCTAATTATGGGACAAAATGTTACTTTTTGACTAAGGCTTACTGTATTGCTATTTTATAATCTGTCACATTTAGTATGGACTGTCTTTTGACTTTATTGAACTGTTTACTTCTGTTCTTGTCTCTGTAACCCCACTTTCACACAGTATTGTTTGAAACTGGTCATGGTGGCACATACTTATAACTCAGCTACTCAGGAGGCTAAGGCAGGAGGATTGCAAGTTTGAGGCCAGCCTCAACAACTTATCAGAACCTGTCTCACAGTGTCTCAGAAGGGCCAGGGATGTAGCTCAGTAGTAAGTGCTTGCCTAACATGCATGAGGTCCTGGGTTCAGTGCCCAGCCTATGGTTGGGAAAAACAAAAAAGTAGTATTATTTGGAACTGTCCTGATGGCAAATCCACATGAAGGCTCTGAAATCATATAGCACTTCTTTATTTATAAATATAATATAAGGCACCACTTGGATGAGCCAGAATATGTTATTTTTTGGAGACAGTCTCAGTGGTTAGCCCAGGCTGGTCTCAAGCTTGCAGCCACCACCGCAGATAATGCCATCCTCCTGCCTCAGCTTCTTAAGTTCTGGAATTAGAAGTGTGAACCACCACACCTGGCAAGAATGTGTTCATTTTTGAGTAAAATGAAAGGAGACCAAGAAAGGTTCTCTAAAGGAATTTTGTTGACTTCTCTTTAAGAAACTTAATTTTATATTCTAGAACTAAAAAATATTTTTAAAAATTCATAAAAGTTGTAGAAATTTGAAAAAAGTATAGCACAGTAGAAAAAAAGAAGGAAATTACTCTGTGGTAGTTATGCTTTTTATGTCTCCATTTTTGTTTGCATGTTTCTGTATTTCCTTTGATTATAGTGATGATATTGTGAACAACTATTTGTTTGGACTCATTTTTTTTTTTTTAATTTTTATTTATTTATTTATTTATGTGTGTGTGTGTGTGTGGCCAGCTCAGCCCACCAGGGGGCGGGGCTGGCTGGCATGTGGTGCTGGGGGATTGAACTGCAGTCCCTGAGCTTTGCTAAGCTTGTTCTAAGTAGGTGCTTTAGACCACTGAGCCATCTCACCAGCCCCGACTCATTTTCTTTAATGGTAGAGGGGAAACCTATTTTGCTGGAGTTGCTCTATGGCAAAAGACACATTTTTGACTCCTGTAGTGGTCTGTTTCCACAGCAGAGAATGAATCTAACTACATCTTTTGGATATTGACTCCATTACTTCCTTTCTTCTTGTTGCTGCTTGGCTAAAAATAACTGAATGAGTTTGTTTCTCTATCTCCCAGGTGCGTCCTGGAGATAAACCACTCGACAGTGATAATTCCTTTTACTTGTTTGAGCCTTAGCAATGATATGATTTATGCAAATTGTGTCTGATAGTTAGATTTCAAGATGTATATATCTTATCTTAATATTCTTTTGCTGATTTAAAACCTTACAGGAAAGTAATTTTGATCATCTTGATTTTGATTTGGATTTGATGCCTTGGGAGTCAGACATTTGGAACATAAACAACCAGTTCTGTACAGGTAATGTGCTTCATTGCTGAAAGTTTTGGCCAGACCCATTTGATGTTGTACTTTGGTGGTACTCAGAATTAGGTAGGGCTGTTTGACTCTTTTGGTAGATTAAAAGATTTCAGGGACTGTGTATCCTGTTTGTGGTATACCAAGGCATGAATACATTTCTTGCCATAAGGAATAGAAAACATTTCATAGTTATGTTTCATAAATATAACAAATGAATAAATCATGTCAGATGTCAATATATATATTTTAAAATCTTTTTGAAATTTATTTATTTGGTACAGGGTCTCACTCTGTAGCTCCGAAATGGGACCGGTGCAGCATGTGGTACCAGAGATTGAACCCAGTCCTGGCACCTGCCAGGCCGGTGCTTAGACGGCTGAGCTATTTCTTTGGTTCCTTCACTATGGATCTTGGATTCATAGTGATCCTCCTGTCTGAGCTTCCCCAGTGCTGGGATTATAGGTGTGCACTACCACGCCTAGTTTCAGTGGCCAGCTTGGCACCTGGGCCTGGCACTGCATGTGGTACCAGGGATTGAACCTGGATTGTTGTGCTTGCCAGGCAGATGCTTAGACCACTGAGCTATCTCCACAGCCCAGATATCAAAATATTGATGTTGGATTATGAATGATATCTTTGTAGGAGACTCACCTATCTGGGGGCCCAGTTAGGATTAAGGAATGAAAGGAGGGGGTTAGGATTACCAGCGTCTGGAGCTTCCAGCAGGGTCCTGTGCATTTGCTGCGCATGCCTCTCAGGAGAGGGCACCACTGGGTGATGGTCGCATTTTTAAGGGAGCTTGATGGGGTGAGGGTTGGGTGTGCTAAAGAAGCTGAAACCTGCAGCAGATTACTGCTGCTGGGTTTGAACTCATGGGAGGAAAAAGATAACCTTTCTCCTGTCTTCTAGCATCCTTCTAGTGCTCCCTATTGACAGGACCTAGAAGGAAGCCAGCTGGGATATAGGGTAATGATTTGCCTCACAGGGTGTAGCTGAGTATAGCTGACTCAGAGTGGAGAGACCCAGGGTAAATGGCCAGCCATTTTCTCATCTAAGTTCCTCTCTATTCCCTCTCTGTTCCCCTTTATTTTTACTACCTTGCCCAATGCCTATCTGCCCTCATAGAATTTGGGATATACAAGGCTAGTAACCTGGTTACTAGTGTGTAATAAACTATTCTAAATCTGAGTAGCTTTTTAAAAAATGCCATTTAATAAGGTTCCGAGAATCTGTGTGTCAGGCATTTGGACTGAATGCCCCAGGAGTGCCTCATCTCTGTTCTGTGATATTCACACCTCACGAGGGAGATTTGAAGGCTAGGCTAGGGTGACATTTAGGAGCTAGAATCATCTTGAGATTTCTTTGCTCCTCTGTCTGCCTCTGCAGGGTGGTGTGGGAAGAAGGCCCCAATTCTGAGTGTTCTGGCGCACAAAGCAGAGGCTGCATTTCTAATCTCAGAATTCACATAGGGTTACTGTCCATCCCCGTCTGTTTCCTGAAGGAGGCATAAACTCACCTGAATTCAAGGCAAGGGGGGAATAGACTCCATTTCTTGAGTAACATCATAGAAGATTGTACAGGGTGGAAGATGTTCTGTGGCTTTGTAGACAGTCTGCCACTCCTGCTCAGTTGCATCTTTGACCAGCAATACTGCCTGGACTGTAGTTGCTCATAAATTTGTATGGAATAAATTAATAGTTGAGGAGATATGAATGTTTTTGTGATTTTGATTATATCATCAGACATGCTTTCCAAAATAATCCTTTTCTGTTTCTTAAATTTAGAAACATTGGGATTAATCTGTAACTTTTTTGCATGTGGTATAATATTTAAAAGGTCCAAAAGTTTATGGAGTAGAAAAATGTCTTCTTTTGCTCTTATTCCTCAGCCAACAGTTCTATTCAGAGACAACAACCACTGTTACTAATTTCTTTTGTTTAAACCTCCTGAGAATCAGGGCAGATGTCAGCGGTTGGATTACATAAATGACTTATAACGCAAATGGAAACATAATTTGTTTCCTGCATCTTGCATTTTCATGTAATTATATGTTTTGCTGACCTTAGGTCCCATATGTGATTGAATTTTAAGAGCAAATTTTACCTTCTTTCTCATTCTTTTTATTCTGAGTTTATATTGTTCAGTGAGAACCTTTATTCCATATTTTCCAGTTAAAGATATTAAGGCAGAACCTCAGCCACTTTCTCCAGCTTCCTCAAGTTGTTCGGTCTCATCTCCTCAGTCAGTAGACTCTTGTTCTTCAACTCAGTATGTTCCTGTAAGTAGCCTTTTCTAATGATAGTGCTGTGTGGAAAATATGTGCATGGGGAGGTTGTTACCTTTTATCAAGGAGGGGGCCTTACTACTAATCTCCTGAGGAAGAATGGATTTGGAGGAGGGCCTGGTGGAAGCTTGAAAGTTGTTAGTGAATGATGCTTTTTTTTTTTTTTTTTTTTTTTGAGACAGAATCTTGCTTTGTAGTCCAGGCTGACCTTGAACTCAAAGTGATCCTCTAGCCTCAGCCTCATGAGTGCTGGGACAATAGCTGTTTGTCACCATGCCCAGCTAACACTGTTACTTTTTGTAATTCCTTAGTTATCAAACCTAGATGATCTCTTTTGTTCAGAAATGCCTACCACTATTTTTTGTGTGTGCTAAGGGCTTTACTGAAGTCTGTTAGCTCCTTAAGAATGCTGCTTTTTGTTAAGACAAAATCTTTGAGGTCAAGAAAAGGAAGTCTCTGGTTTCGGTAATAGAGGGAATATACAAGAAGAAAGTTCAAATTAGTATTTAATGAAGTCTGCCACGAATTGAGACGTCCTCATTCTGGAAGGCTCTACATTTAGTCAGAATCTGCTGATGTTCTCTATTTAATTTTTATGCTTATAATGATATGTTTATGTAAGATATCCAATAAGATACATTACTTATAGGAGGAAATGTAGACAATGACAAAGTCATACTCTACATTTTGAGTTATTTTTTCTTTGGGATTAGTGGGCAGTATTGATTTGTCCATAGTCATGTACTTAATCCATAGTATGCTGCTGAAATATTTTTTTCGGCATAAATTTATGGTTTTTTTTTCCTTTTTGTTATAGGAGGAGTTGGACTTGTCTTCTAGCTCCCAGCTGTCTCCTCTTTCCTTATATGGAGAAACCTGTAATAGTCCATCCTCAGCAGAGCCACTAAAGGAAGACAAACCCATTATTGGTCCTAGAAACAAAACTGGTATTACTTTGTCTCACAGTTTCTGTTTCTGTTTCAGATAGAGCTCAGGTTCCATTTCTTAAAATAAAATGTTAGTTTAAACATATCTTTAGGAAGTTGGTTTGCTGTTTTTAAGTTAGCGGACCTTTATTTTTTTGTTATGAGTGATTACTGTAGAGAGAAAAGAGAATAAATAATCTTTGATGGTCTTTATAAGTTGAAAATATTTGAAAATAACCTTAAACTATCTCATTGTAAGAGCAGTTTCAAAGTTTCAGTTAAAGATATTATGTGTGAAAGCCATTTGACTGTGGTGTTTGTTACTTCGTTAATTTCTAGGCTATTTTGTGATTTTTAGCTCTTTTCCTTACCCATTCATGTGTCTGCTACCTAAAGCTGCAGTTCTGTCAAAAAGTAAGAGCTCCATTAAGGAGGTTTCTTAGTCCACTTAGGTATAGAGTAGCTGTGCTTAAACTCCTGTTCAAGATAGTTACTCAAGAGTCAAAATTAATTTATAAGAAAAGTGTGCAATAGACTGTTCCCAGGTCTTGATTAATTGTGTCCACACTAATTTTTCTTTCTTTTCCCAGAAAATGGAATGACTCCAAAGAAAAAAATTCTGATGGGTTCAAAACCTTTAATTCAACCCAAGCCTTTATTACTTCCAGCAGCACCCAAGGCTCAAGCAAACTCCAGCGTTCCAGCCAAAACCATCATTATTCAGACACTGCCGACACTTATGCCGTTGGCAAAGCAGCATCCAGTTCTCAGTCTACAGCCGGCACCTGCTAAAGGTACCTGCATAATGTGGGGCTCTTTATGTTTATTTGGAAGGCAGTGAAGCTTGTGTCATATGATTTAACTCAGGTTATAATTTCTGTGCATGTGCTGTGTGTCATAATTGTCTTTGGTTTCAGAGATGACTAATATGTGGTTCTGGTCCTAACAGAGGTAGCTGTCCAGATCAGTTCTATCTGATACTGCTCGTCCGTCCGTCCATCCGTCCGTCCGTCCTTTCTTCCTTCCTTCCTTTTTTTTTTTCTCTATCTTTTTAAAAAAAATGTATTTAGTACAGGGTCTACAGTGTCTCACTACACAGCTTGCACTGGCAGTGATCCTCCTGTTTTCAGCCTCCTAAGCGCTGGGATTATAGGGGCGCAGCACCTTACCCAGTCTCAATTGCCATCTCAATGCGCCCTGTGGGTAAGGCCTCCACAGCAGGCAGGGGGATTGAACCTTAGTGCCTGCATCTGCCTAAGCAGGCACTTTAATCCACTGGGTTATCTGGCCAGCCCCAATACTGCTTTTTCTTACAGTTGAAATTATGCCAGCTCCTGTCTTCAAATTTTTATATAATGACTTTAGGTTTTATAATGAAGAAAAATTTGATGTTTTAGTCTGAGATTTTTGTGATTACAAACTTTTCTTTATTTTTAGAGAGTAGCCAGTATTTAAAATAATATGATCCATTTTAGGTCAAGTAGGTGTGCTTTATCAATAGAAACCAGCTTATCATTTCTGAGGAGACCTCAGTACTGAACTGGGCGTTAGGAGACCTGAACTCTGCCTTCCACTAGCTGAGAATTTGTGTTTCTATATTTGATCCACTAGGTGGCCTCACAGACTTGTTTTTCTACAAGAAATTTAGGTCAGTATTGAAAGTTCTAGTTTGGGGGTTTGGCACTCTTTAGATATGGGAATTATTTGTTCATGGAGCTCTCAGTGGTTTAGCCGTCATTTTCCTTATGCTGACATATGTACCATGAATATGACAAAACTTGTGTAGCACTTTTTCCTCTGCATTTAGCCTGCGACCAGTAGCACTGGATATTAATCAGGTATGATTTGTAAACACCAGTGTACCATTTGCTTTTATGGCTCTATTTACAGTTGTGAATAGTTACCTTATTTCTTTGAAGCATGGTTTCAGTGAGGGCAGGATCATACACTGGTTTTCTCTATTATCTTTGTTCGTTACATGTTCATAGAAAATAGAACATTGATAAAAAGGACTAAATTATAGAATGGATAGATAAGTTAAAATCCATTAATCAATCCCTAACAACAGAACAAAACAAATAAAAACAGAAACAGTTTGAAATGCCTGTCCTCTCAGTATAAGGTCAACACTGCTGCCTTTTTCTTATGAATAGATACCCTTGTGACCTATGGATGGGTGTTAAGCTTTCATGACTTCCTTGAAATAAATCACATGATTTTGTGTATGTCCCTATATGGGTTTTTCTAAGGATAGTCTCTAAAACTTGCATCAGGATCTCAAGAGGACCTGTGTCTTTTTTTTTTTTTGCAGTACTGGGGATTGAACTCAGGCCCTTGTGCTTATCAGGCAAACGCTTATTCTGTTGAGCCATCTCCCTGGCCCTGTGTCTATCTAAAGATTAAACACTTTAACTCATGAGGCTCCAATTTATCCATCTATACCACTTCTTCTTTTTTTTTTAAAATCAAATCGGTAGGACAGTTTCAATAATTAACACACAGCATATATTCTTCTTAGTGGTTAATTGCTGTACAAGATGCGGACTTGATATCCTATTTACAAACACCATTAGAACAAATTATTCTATTCATTAAGAGAATGTAACTATATATCTATCCTAACCACTTTGAATACACAGATACAAAATGGACATTCATCTGTATCCCCTTTTTTTGTTAAGTTCCATTATTTGAATATTATAGGTGTGTAAACTCAGCAAAATATTCTAAAAGAGTCCAGTAGCCCATAATAGTATTGGGTCTTCCTCTTAACTGGCAATGTCAGAAATTGTTGACCTGAGTCCCCCACAGCTCAACATAAAAAGGCAGAAGGATTTTTTTTTTTTGGCTCCGATTGCCCTCAGGGCAGGTTTGGCTGGCTGGAGTTGTGGGGATCAACCACAGGAACCTGAGCCTGACAGCTTTGTTGAAGCAACCACTTAAAGAACTGAACTATGGGGCAGGCCCCCTATACCATCTTTTTATCCATTCCTCAGTTGATGGGCATTTGGATTGTTTCCAAGATGTACCTATTACAAATTGTGCTGCTATAAACATGAGTTCTGGTTCAGTAGAATAAGCACTTGCCTGGTAGAATAAGCACAAGGGCCTGAGTTCAATCCCTGGTTCTGTCAAAAAAAAAAAAAAAAAAGTGTTTTAGGGGCCAGGGAGATGGCCCGGTGGAATAAGTGCTTCCCTGGCAAGCATAAGGGCCTGATTTCAATCCTCCGTTCCACCAAAAAAACCGAAAAACAAAACATGGGTGCACATATATCACTGTGATCTGATGTTTTCAATTCTTCTGGAAAAATATCCAGGAGGGGAGTAGCTGCGTAGAGTGGCACCTCTTATCCTACTTTTTGGAAGAATTTCCACACTGATTTCCACAGTGGTTGTACCAGTCTATCCTTACTTTTTCTGATCATGTGGTAACATGAGGCATTGAAAATTGTTCTTATAGTTCAATCTAGAGAGGTGATATTTTTTTATGTACAGGTTGAAGTGTATGTCTTTCATTTATTTGAAAAGGGGGTAGGAGGGAAAGGGAAATATGAGCAAAGCGCTTTACAGTAAACCAGTGCCTGTGAATAGTAGTTTACCTTTGAAAAAGAAGATGTTACATGTAAAAAGTTAAAATTTTATAGTGTAGAATATGAAAGCCCCCATAATTTGGCTCCAGTTTAGTTTTTTAACTTTATATTATAATATCATTCTTTTCTAAAGCCCCCTTCTTCTAGCTTAGTCAAGTTAATATTGTCCTTTGAGTTCTTTGGGTTTTTCTAGTTTCTTGGCTCTTTTTTGGTTCTTACTGTTCTTCCAACTCAGAAATTTTCTACTTATTTCTGTGTCTGAGTTCTGTGAGTCCTTTAAGATTGTTATAAGTAGTGCAGGCGGGTGGTGATACGGGCCTGGAACACCAGTGACATGGAAGACCAGTGGATGGAGAGTAAGGGCTTAAAAAGTATAATGTACGACTTGCTATTTGGAGGGCATAGGAGGGGGATGAAGGTTCGAGAAGAATTACTTTGTTTTTCTTTTTTTTTTAAATTTTATTTTAAAGAGAAACTATAAAATTTCAAAACAAGATAATAGAGCAGAATGTTTAATGGATTACATGTTGCTGTCTTTAGATTAGTTACTCAGAGTACAAGATACAGGGATTTAGTTGTTCAAACAATATTAGCACAAACCTTTCTTTTCAATGAACTAAGAGAAATTAATAGTATAACTGTCTTGTATACACGCACATGGACAAGCACAACACATACATTTTCTTTTCCTCTTTTTTTCTCTTTTTTCCCAGCCCAGTATCCAAGGTTTTCCTTTCTTTTGAACAGTTTCTTGCCACTTTATGTTATCTGTTGTACATTCTAGGTCTTATTTACTCTTTGAGCTTCTCATACTAGGGAGATAGTATGATGTTTACACATGTGAGTTAGGTTTATTTCACTTTTGAGTATGGTCTCTAGTTGCGTCCATTTAACTACAGAAGTCTCCAATTTAGCCTTCTTTGTGGTTGAGTAGTATTCCATGGTACAAAAAGACTACATCTTTTCTTTCTTCTTCTTTTCTTTTAATCTGTTCCTTGGTTGATGGACTTTGAGGTTGTTTCCAAAATTCAGCTATGACAAATTGTGCTGCTATAAAAATGGGTGCACATTTATTGCTTTGGTATGATGTTTTTAATTCTTCTGGGAAGATACTTATAAGCGCAATAACTGGTTGGAATGAGACCTCAAATCCTCATTTTTGAAGAATCTTCACACTGATTTCCACAGTGGTTGCCCCAGTCTACACTCGCACCAATGGAGGGGAAGGGTTCCTTTTGGGAGGAAGGACTTTCATTAGGCTTTTTAGCTGATAATGCAAATTATTGAAACGGTAAAACAGCTCCTAGTAAAAAGTAGAGCCAAAAATTGAACCCAAGTGGACTAAGTCTTTGTAATTATTACATTGCTTCTAAAAGAATAAAATGTGATCTTGTTCTCAAGAATTCTGAAAAATCCTACCATTTAGTTGGGAAGTTAAATTATATAAATAGTTGAATCACACTCAGTGTAAGAATTAATGAATTATTAGTACATGTAGTATCCTTTTGGAAACAGTTGTTATGTAAAAATGTTAATCATGTAAACCTGGTGTGGAGTGGTACATGCCTGTAATCCTAGCACCCTGGATGCTGACGCAGGAGGATCATCCTGAGTTCAAGGCCAGCCTAAACTATATAATGAGACCCTGTCTCAAAAAAAAAAAAAAAAAAAAAAA